TCTTGCTTGAGCGACCAAAAGTTGTCAAAAGTGAGGTAGTCACTGGCCCAACAAAAATAGTTTGGGCGACTGTCAAAAAATAATGAATAAAAGAAATTATAGCCCTTTCCACATTAACTGGGGGGGGGGGGGGGGGGGGGGCCAGTACATTTTTCAGTTGTCATTACTTCGATTTAAATCGAACGGGAATAAAATGAAAAAAAATATACAAATACTGTTATCACCTGTATACTAATATCATTATTACTTAAAATGTACTGAAAATCTGTTTGAAATATATGGTGATTTCTTATATTATTTTATTCCATGATGATGTTCAGTTGTTATGTACATGTACTACTTTAGTGCCATATTTAGCCAAACTCTTGTAACTTATGTTGTGCTTGTTTTGACCAATAAAATGTTGAATTATCCTACAAAATTATGTTAATTTTCTATTCAATTAAAGAGGTTCCACATTGTTTATCATGTTTATCTAACTGCAGTTAGTTATTGATTCTTATTTTTATCAAAAAGTGAATGAGCTGATAAGAGTTTTTCTTTTTAAAAGTATCTCTATTGAGATAAAGAAGCAAAATATGTTGAGGAGCTGTCAAAATTCTTTGTACCATATTTTTTTATGAAACTCGATTGATTCACACTATTAAGCCGACATTAGCAAGTTTACAATATTACAATAATAAGATGTGTGTGTGTTTTTAATTAGAACTGTAACAGATCAATTGATTTTTTTTATCAAATGTTGATCTGATTATTTTGCTAGCAAACCCTTTATAAGTATAGGGGTAAATAATAATAACTTATAAAATATCCAGATGATCTCCAAAAATTATGACACGTAAGCCTTTTGAGCAATATTGCCGAGGCTGGTATTACTTATAAATTATAATTTAAAAAATAAAGTAATTGCTTAATAAAAGAATATTTTCTGAGATATCCATGGAATAGTGTGCTATGATATATCTGGAAAGATATGCATATCTATGAGATCATGGTTGTTCTTAGAAATCAGTCCTTATGACAAACAGTAACAGGTATGTTAAATCATAAACAGAGGAGTTAAGATTACTACAAAGAAAATAGGACACACGATATCTTACTAGACCTACAAACAGTAACGGGTATGTTTAATTATAAACAGAGGAGTTAAGATTACTACAAAGAAAATAGGACACACGATATCTTACTAGACCTACAAGCAGTAACAGGTATGTTTAATTATAAACAGAGGAGTTGAAAGATTACTACAAAGAAAATAGGACACACGATATCTTACTAGACCTACAAGCAGTAACAGGTATGTTTAATTATAAACAGCGAAGTTGAAAGATTACAATAAAGAAAATATGACACACGATATCTTACTAGACCTACAAGCAGTAACAGGTATGTGAAATTATAAACAGAGAAGGTGAGAGATTGCTGCAAAGAAAATAGGACACATGATATCTTACTAGACCTACAAACAGTAACAGGTATGTTAAACATAAACAGAGGAGTTGAGAGATTACTGCAAAGAAAATAGGACACACGATATCTTACTAGACCTACAAGCAGTAACAGGTATGTTTAATTATAAACAGCGAAGTTGAAGGTTATTTTAAAGAAAATATGACACACGACATCTTACTAGACCTACAAACAGTAACAGGTATGTTTAATTATAAACAGAGAAGTTAAGAGATTATTTTAAAGAAAATATGACACACGACATCTTACTAGACCTACAAACAGTAACAGGTTTGTTTAATTATAAACAGCGAAGTTGAGAGATTGCTATAAAGAAAATAGGACACACGACATCTTACTAGACCTACAAACAGTAACAGGTATGTTTAATTATAAACAGCGAAGTTGAAAGATTGCTATAAGGAAAATAGGACACACGACATCTTACTAGACCTACAAACAGTAACAGGTATGTTTAATTATAAACAGCGAAGTTGAGAGATTGCTATAAGGAAAATAGGACACACGACATCTTACTAGACCTACAAACAGTAACAGGTATGTTTAATTATAAACAGCGAAGTTGAGAGATTGCTATAAAGAAAATAGGACACACGATATCTTACTAGACCTACAAACAGTAACAGGTATGTTTAATTATAAACAGCGAAGTTGAGAGATTGCTATCAAGAAAATAGGACACACGATATCTAACTAGACCTACAAACAGTAACAGGTATGTTTAATTATAAACAGAGAAGTTGAGAGATTACTAAAAAGAAAATGTGACACACGATATCTTACTAGACCTACAAACAGTAACAGGTATGTGAAATTATAAACAGAGTAGTTAAGATAAATATAACGTACTCCGTCACCGACGAGGAATAGTGAACATTTTGCTGAGTGTTTTGTTTGCTATAAATCATACAAGGTTGTAAATAAATTTGAATGAGTTGAGTAAACAGTGTAGATAGAAATACACTCACTGGCGCTTTCCCGGGGATATTGGCTATAAGTTAACTGTAAGGCCCATGGTTAGGACTTTAACAATTTAAGGACATATTGTATTCGTTGGTTTAGCATGTTATGTATGGTTCCTTTGCATTATATACAACTAGCCTTCTTTAATCGATTAAGTGTAAATTAACATGTAAAACATATTTAATTTTCTTTGAAAATACACAGTTTTGTTTAGTGCTCAAGTTTAAGATTTAGGCAAAGTGCACATTTCTATAATGGAAAGTGTGATAACAGTCTACTTTCATCTGTTTCCAAAATGTATGCCTTGTTTATAGCTTAATTGTCCTTTGTAGTAATAAAGAATTGTACATCATTAGATGCTTGCCAATTCAAATTAACATTCGAGTTCACGTGATTAATCATATTAAGTGATACTGTAAAACTGATTTTCGTGGGACATTAAATTTCGTTTATTTCGTGGATAACAAGAATCCACGAAATTATATCCCCACGAAAACATAAATTTGGTATGATATAGATCGGGGGAAATCAGAAATCAGCGAAATATAATGTATTTGAAACAGGCTAGTATATGAAAACCACGAAATTTTAACCCCACGAAAATAAATGATTTGACAGTATATACATTCGAACACAGGTTAGCCAGTAAATAATTTACGTACAAGTAACTGCAGTTATTAACTATGAAGGGTCAACATTCGAGTACTTGTTAAGCATAGTTAACAGTTAACATTCTTTAACCTGTTGATTAAATTTAACAGTTAACATTCTTTAACCTGTTGATTATACTTAACAATAAACATTCTTTAACCTGTTGGTTATATTTAACAGTTAACATTCTTTAACCTGATGATTATATATAACAGTTAACATTCTTTAACCTGATGCTTATATTTAACAGTTAACATTCTTTAACCTGGTGATTATATATAACAGTTAACATTCTTTAACCTGATGATTATATTTAACAGTTAACATTCTTTAACCTGATGATTATATATAACAGTTAACATTCTTTAACCTGATGATTATATATAACAGTTAACATTCTTTAACCTGATGATTATATATAACAGTTAACATTCTTTAACCTGATGATTATATATAACAGTTAACATTCTTTAACCTGATGATTATATATAACAGTTAACATTCTTTAACCTGATGATTATATATAACAGTTAACATTCTTTAACCTGATGATTATATATAACAGTTAACATTCTTTAACCTGATGATTATATATAACAGTTAACATTCTTTAACCTGATGATTATATATAACAGTTAACATTCTTTAACCTGATGATTATATATAACAGTTAACATTCTTTAACCTGATGATTATATATAACAGTTAACATTCTTTAACCTGATGATTATATTAACAGTTAACATTCTTTAACCTGATGATTATATATTACAGTTTGTATTCTTTAACCTGTTGATAATATTTAACAGTTAACATTCTTTAACCTGATGATTATATATAACAATTAGTATTCTTTAACCTGATGATTATATTTAACAGTTAACATTCATTAACCTGTTGATAAAGCTTAACAGTTAACATTCTTTAACCTGATGATTATATTTAACAGTTAACATTCTTTAACCTGATGATTATATATATAAGTTGGTATTCTTTAACCTGATGATTATATATAACAGTTAACACTCTTTAACCTGTTGATTATATTTAACAGTAAACATACTTTAACCTGTTGATTATATTTAACAGTTAACATTCTTTAACCTGTTGATTATATTTAACAGTTATTATTATTTTACCTGTTGATTATATTTAACAGTTAACATTCTTTAACCTGTTGATTATATTTAACAGTTAACATTCCTTAATCTGTTGATAATATTTAACGGTTAACATTTTTTCACCTGATGATTTTTTATTAAATGGGCAACGTTCGAGTACATGTTGATTATAATATATGGTTAAGATTCGAGTACCTATTGTTTAAAGTAAATGGTTGACATTCTTTTACCTGTAGATTATAGTACATTTAACATGTTTTAGCTGTTCATTTTAGTGAATGGTTAACAATATAGTTTACCAGTAGATTATAGAAAATGGTTAACTTTTGTGAGCATGTTGATTATACAATATAGTAAATGGTAAGCTTTTGTACCTGTTGATTATAGTAAATGGTAAGCATTTTTACCTGTTGATTTTAATAAATGGTAAATATTTTTACCTGTTGATAATGGTAAACGGTTAGCATTTTTTACCGGTTGGTTATAGTAAATGGTTGATTGTATACATATATATGGTAAAGGGTTAACATTTTTTTATCAATTAACATACACTACATTTACATTAAGAAACCTGTAGTAACATAATCCATGCTGTAATCTGTTTGAACGTATAAACGTTCATCAAAGACGGCTATAGGTTACTGGTTGATCGACAGATTTCCGGTTTACATACACAATTTCTCTCATACTGTAGTCTAGCTGGTATAACGTGACAGCGCTTCGATAAAAAGTTTGTATGGAGTCGTCACGGTCCAGGTACAAGGAAAGTCCACGTACGTCGCAGTAAGTATTAACTAACTTGTTAGCTGTTTACATTAGCGTTCTCGACCCGAGCGGCCGTAAGAAAGGATATTACTTCCAACTATTACCATAAAAATAAACCAGCTGGACGATCGGGTGTCCCCAGCTATCACTACTACACTTAGCCAGTCGGTACAGGGAACGTACAATGTACACGACTGTCGTTAGATAGAATTAAGTAGAGTATTGCAGACGCAGTTTTGGATAGACCGGACGAAAAGGTTAAGTGAATGCTCTATTCCAGGGAGATATCGTACAACTATAACACCCGGTAAGTATATGTTACACTCTAAGTGCAATGTAAAAATAAGTGACAGCACACAATGTCAACAGTCAAACCGGTGGTGGTTGTTTATCCAAAACATGGTCTTATGTTTACATGATGCTATGCACATGAATTATTATGCATGTATAAATATAATGGTTGTAACAAATAAACATTTGCATTATTTTTCATGAGTCGCTTCTTAAAGATAACTACATTTATATGCAAACTGGTTTGGTGAATTATTCATGGTGTTTTCGCTGTGGACATTTGTGACCTCCCACCTTCAAACTCTGTGCTACATGTATATAGTTATATACACGGGTGCTCCCTAAATTACTGTCAGTGTAGTTTACAACAGTATAGTAGTTCTATATATAACCAGTCGGTACAGGGAACAATGTGCTCGACTGTCGTTAGATAGAATTAAGTAGAGTATTGCAGACGCAGTTTTGGACGGAAAGGTTAAAAGCGGACGATCTGAAAAATATATGTTTTTATTCTGTATATATATATATACGGGTGTTTCCTTACTGTCAGTGTAGTTTACACCAGTAGACAGTGTAGTGTTATATATATATATACGGGTGTTTCCTTACTGTCAGTGTAGTTTACACCAGTAGACAGTGTAGTTATATATATATGTATATATATTTGTTACACCTCAAGTAAATTTCTAGCTATTTGATTAGTTGGGAGAAAATTAAACAAAAATCTTTGTCACCCTCCGAAAATACATTGGTTTTAAGGGGCGCGGGTGATATTGCCATGAGACAGTGAAAAATATCACATGCGCGAAAAATGTGCGTTCACCGCTTCGTTTCCCAACCGTGATGGTCACAAGAACGTTTCACGGCAACAGCCGATTTTATCAATTTTATAAGCGCCGATGCGATAGTGATTGTAAACAGCAGACTATCAACAAACAAGATGTCATTATCGAGGTTTGCTGCAATTTCTGAGCTACAAAGACTTTTGGTGTAACAAAATAGATATGACATTCATTAGCAGGTGACATTGAATATTGTCACCTGCTAATGAATGTCATATTTATATAATATATACGGGTGTTTCCTTACTGTCTGTATAGTTTACAACAGTAGACAGTGTAGTTTTACGCCACACTTAAAATTCAGTTAAATGGTTTTTTTTATATCAGCTTTTTCTCTTTTGTAACATTTAGTATAAATCAACCATTAATAGCTCGTCTTTTGTACATATTTTAACTAGATATACTAGACACTCAAAGGCAATTAAAGACAAAACATATCGGGGTTTTATAGGGTACAAATGTTAAGCACGTGAATGCGAATAATTAAACCTCTCCATCTAGGAAGAATTATTGCACGTATCTAATCAGGGGGATACAACCTGTATATATAAAAAGAAATTTAGATAATGCAATTTAATACAACAAGATCAAATTAACATGTCCTGTTATCGTAGTCAAAATAATACCAGGTTGTCATCTTTGTAGAGCCAAACATACTGGTAAATACTAATACGAGCTGTCGATGAAGTCAGTGGTAAATAATATCTCGTACATAATACGCTGATCGTATAGAAACTGGAAAGTTAGCCCGCCACCCTGTCACTTCGAACACAAAAGGACCGGTAAGATATTGTTGAAACAGGATTACTACTGTACAAACAGTTGATCATGTATCAATGAAACAGAGAGCTTCTCATGAACAGACAGCAAATTTACATATAAATACATAGGTGCCTTTTATGTCGCCGCCTGGGACGTAGCAAAAGATTACACGAAGTTATAGCCTTGTGTACAAGCAATTTACTTAAAAAATGGTATCTTTTTTTAAAATCTTTAATGGAAATAGGACTTGCGTATACCATAAAAAGAATATTTTAAAAGATTCAGTAACCAGATAAAATGACTGCGACCTATAAGAATATATACTGGTACATTGACTCAGATATCAAACCACTAAACACAGTATTACCAGTCACTGACAGTAGTTGTTTACAGTGTATATCGTACCACTGATTACACTTACTGTATTACCAGTCACTGACAGTGGTTGTTTACAGTGTATATCGTACCACTGATAACACTAATTGTATTACCAGTCACTGACAGTGGTTGTTCATAGTGTATATCGTACCACTGATTACACTAACTGTATTACCAGTCACTGACAGTGGTTGTTTAC